GTGGCTGGAGAGGTGCCAGTTCACCTCCTGGGCACTGCCGAGGTGCCCTTGAGCAAGGCACCGAACCCCCCCAACCGCTCGGGGCGCCTCACCAAAGGGCAGCCCCCTCACTCTGACATCTCTCCACTTTGTGCATGTATAGGTCCTGTTTGTGCATGTGTGTGTCTTTCGGACCTGTGTGTAATTGACAAGCAAGAGTGAAAACATTGCATTTCCCCTCAGGGGGATTAATAAAGTAAATAAACTTAAACTTAACTTAAACTGAATAGACTCCACAGATATAAAGTTTGGTGTAGCCATAGCAACGCCCTTTATAAACAACACGACTGTCAATACAAGCAAGTGCTAGCAGATAGTGGGTTAACGTGGGTTAGCTACGGTTCGTTTCTAACCGAGGGGGCCATCAACATGACGTGAATTAGGAACTGGCTCGTTCACTCTAAAGAGCCGGTTCAAAGACTCGGCTCGTTCGCGAACATCACATCACTAATAACAGTGTACGTTGGTGCTCCAGCAGCATAAGCAGACGCCCATTCAGCTGTAGCTGCTAGACAATCCTAGTGCAGGGGTGGACTAAACCATTTTGCACCTTTAAGGGGAGAGAGGACCCTCAGAGAGCTTCCACAATTTTCTATACAAATTTCAGTTTTTCACTCAATTTATTTGGCCAGTTTTGATTTAGTTGTGGCAGAGTCAGAGCACAATGCATCATACTGTTAAAGCCACACCCACCGGACGGGACAAACAATCAGCGCCACAATATGCAACCAGGGCCTGAAATAACAAAATGCCTGCAGCTGGCTAAAAATGGTAGATTTCAGCATGTCAATGGATTATTTTAGCACCTTATGTCTGCTAGAGAAGAAAAGTTAATCTGACAAACTCAGTGTTGTTGATCTATCTCAGTTTTTATCTTGCTTATTTTAGAGAAATGATCCCACTTAATGATTAGAGGTTAAATATTTACAACTATTAAACTGAATCGTGGAATAAAAATCATCAATCAGGGTGCCCACTAGCTCAATTGGAAGAGAAGGGCATCACTGTGTCCTAGCCGTAGCAGCTGCAGGTTCAATTTCACCCCACGGCCCTTTGCTGCATGTCATCCCTGCTCTTTCTTCCCCTGTCACACTAAATCTGTCCTATCAAAACAGGCAAAAAAGCCCCCAAAATGATCTAGAATCATCATGCAACCTAACCTAACAAAGATTAAAACCAGGCCGCAAAGCTTAATTAGCTCCTACCTCTACAGTCTGTCTGGTCACATTAGCATTATGCTTGCTGAACATGAGACATTAGACACAGTGAGTGTCTGGATCCCACAGTTTTCCCATATCTTCCTGCTGATACCTCACGTCTTATTGCTTAAAAGCTCTGTTTCTCGATTAAACTTAATCCTGTTAGTAGTTCAACCCATTCCACAGCAGCTTTTAGACATTTTTCTGTTGTTTGTTGGCAGATGTAAATGACAAGGAGGCACCTTCCCACATTACAAAGTCAATGGAGAGTGATGAATTGTCTCTACTCTGGTGGGGACGGGCCTTAAATGCACTATGTCTCTATTGGGGCCCTGGGTAATCTGTCCGACTTTCTCCCTACTATATGGCTCTGCTCAAATGTGGTGCTTAAAAACCAACCCAACAACATAACACTCAATATATTTAAATGTATTTTTGGGAGTTTAATGAATTTGGAGTCTTTCCCTCCAAGCCATCTGTTATTTTCACACTTCTGTAACACAAAGATATGATTCATCTGAGCACAGCATGCAAATTAGTTTTCTCAGTAGGGAACATCTTATTAAGCAATGATGACATTGTTAATACCTGCCCACTTCTACTCTCTCTCATTTAGCACATTGATTTTATTTATAGTCTAATTTAAACAATAACCCAAAATAATAGAAATAATTTAATTGAATGTAATTCAGGGGCACTTCTGTATAACAGCTGGTTCTCTAAGAATCACTTTCCTCTATAGTTTGAGCTGTGTAATGTGCTGCCTCACTGCAGCTCATGTGATGATCCAGAAAGTTGCTTTCATTTTTTATATGGTGGAGCTTTACTTCTTCCTCATTCCCCCCTCTTCCTTCTCCTGCTCAGACACACAGAACTACAACCTATCCTCCAGGACATCTGAGGGTCTCTCCTGCCTCTGCTGTTCATTCTTTTTCTTCTTGTGAAATTATTATTTGGTTGCTTTCAACAAAGACCCCAACTATAGTTTTTCTTATAGAAATCATTAATATTCGACACACAAATAAACCTTTTGGTAGCCCACAAAAATAATGACAATATCAATTGCTTTTTCAGTCCACTTGGTACCATTTATTCATTCATTCTTTCATGGACAGGTTGCCAAACTGTCACAGGGCTGACACATAGAGACAGACAACCATTCACACTCACATTCACACCTACGGACAATTTAGAGTCACCAATTAACCTGCATGTCTTTGGACTGTGGGAGGAAGCAGGAGTACCCACAGAAAACCCACGCTGACACGGGGAGAACATACAAACCCCACAAAGAAGGGCTCCCCCACCCTGGGTTCAAACCAGGAACCCTCTTGCTGTGAGGCGACAATGCCAACAACTGCACCACCGTGACACCTGTATAAACAATTTACTGCAACAAAAATGAGTCAAGTGAAATGAACAGGCTTTTTCTTATTAGATTAAACAGATGTTGACAAAGTGTTCCTTTGGCAACTTAATTTTCGCAACAGGTTTAAAATCACAATCATATTGTATCATGACTTAAGTATCGTGATAATATTGTATCTTGGGGCCTCTGGTGATTTCCATCCTTAGTACAGTATTTGTATCGAGATGTTTAAATATAAATATAACAAGTCCATCTACAGTCAGAGCTCCTTATGGAGAGATTATTTCACTCATGAGAGCAATATGTCATGTAAATCTTTCTATTTCGGTTGATAAACCTCACATTGTTACCTCTCTTCTGCCTTTATACAAACTTGAAAAATTCTAATGTTGCAGGAACTCTTGTCCCTGAATGAAAAGTGGAAGGTTGCAGAGTTAGATGAGTTGTCATTTATGTGTAAGTGCTGCCCTCTATTGGCTACTGTGTCAGCTTGCAGACTTTCTCTGTAAACATAACTACATCATTTAATTGAAAAGATCTTATATTACAAAATATGATCATAACTTCATAGGAATGATGCATACTTTAGGATTGAAAATGTGTCTTTGGAAATGTTTAACCTCACATAATGTACAGTTTGAGGGCTGTTTTTGAACTCATTTTTTATTTCAGTTGCAGCATTCTAAGTTTAAGTTTATTTACTTTATTAATCCCCCTGAGGGGAAATTCAATGTTTTCACGCTTGTCAATTACACACAGGTCCGAAAGACACACACATGCACAAACAGGACCTGTACACGCACAAAGTGGAGAGATGTCAGAGTGAGGGGGTTGCCCTTGGTGAGGCACCCCGAGTGGTTGGGGGGGTTCGGTGCCTTGCACAAGGGCACCTCGGCAGTGCCCAGGAGGTGAACTGGCACCTCTCCAGCCACCAGTCCACGCTCCATATTTTGGTCCGGACGGGGACTCGAATAGGCGACCCTCCGGTTCCCAACCCAAGTCCCTATGGACTGAGCTACTGCCGCCCAAGCAATACAGTTTTACATAGCTCATGAACTTAGAATATAAAAGTGGGATGGGAAAAGAAGGGAGATATGGATTTTAGAGCTCCCTTACTGCATTAACAAACTCATTGCAGGACTCCACCTCTTTATGAATTTTGGTCTTTGCAACCTCAATGCATATGTGATTTGTTCCATCTCAAACAGTTCCAGAAGTTATACATTGGAGGTTCAGGATTCAACCATCTAATTGTGATACATTTAATCGCAGCCCCTGAGAGGATTTGTAATAGATACATTTTTGCCCTCTCCTCAAACCCTTCAGGGATTGCTCTGAAGAGGATCATCCTCAGATCTTTGGGGATATTTTGATGGAACACTGCTCTCAGGTCATCTAACACATCCTTCCAGAAAATATGAATGTGGTTTCCAGTTTGTGGGCCACATTTTCTCCAACACTTGTCTGAAGTGGATGCAGCCTACTTAGCTGTTACATGTGGGGTCTGGAAATACCTTATTACTTTCCATTTAAACTCTCACCAGATATTGGAATTAGTGCCTCACTACAAATTTCCCTCCAGGTGTCTGGTGTTATGTCTGAGCTCATTTCCATCTCCAGTGTCTCCTTTATTTGTAAGCTATAGTTTGGGGTATTTGAGAGGAGCACTGAGTATACTTTAGTGATTACTTTTCGAGCTTCATTCCCAGTTTGAATTCCTGTAAGTAACTGTTCTACTGAAGTTGTTTTTTTTTTCAGTTTATCCCATTCCTTGTGCTTTGTGAGAAAATGTCTAAGTTGTAAATATCCTCCTGAGATCATGTGTCCTCATATGAGCACATCACATTTTGGGTTTCCTGCACCTTAAACTTCTTTCTGTCAAACTTAGACCTGTTGTCCTCGTCTGTGGACACTTTTTGTGCCATCTAGTGGTAGTAAGAGCACAATACACTAATCCATGTAAAAACAAGATGGCAGCCATCTCTGCCAAGTCAGTCTGCAGCTGATCCTGAGACAAAAGTGGACAAGGTCCAAAACCTGATCTCATTTTATGGTTGAAACTTGTTTATTTCTGATTAATAATGTTTGTAGTTTGATATGGCAACAAATGTGACCAATTTTAGCAACAGTGACAAGCAAGGACACTGTTAATTAAGTAGTACTCGTTTGAGGACATTGGGACTATATTATCATTGACAGTGTTTAGTTTTATATACTTATCGGCAGGGCTGGACTGGGACAAAAAATCGGCTTGGGCATTTTGAGCCTAGACCGGCCCACCAGGTATTGATGGAAAGACAATGAAGCCTATGAATGAAAACAAACTTTCTTGTGACACCACTTGTACACCGTCTTGTTGATGTATATGTACTTGTCTAATAAATTTAAACCTACACCATCCTCCCAGTCCCATTATTCTATACAGTACTTACTTAGAGGAACCCAAAAGGCTGCTTGGTCTAGTGAACCTCCTGAACAATGTAAAACGTATGATGGAATCCTGAAAATAGGACAGAGAGGAACAGAGATGAGATAAATATTAAAATGTATAAATGACAGATTGTGATTTAGTGATATTTTCACAGACTATTTACTTACCATATCAATAAACACCTTAGACCTCCACAGCAGCAATACTCAGCACAACAACACAGAATATTTCCTCAAACATGGAAACCTTTAAAAAGTGAAAGGAGACAGAGAGAGAAAGGTGAGAAATAATGACACTTGATAGACTTGCTTAGATGATCACAGTGCTGGTATTTTTATTTTAGAAACATAGTTGCATCATGTATTCTATACAGTACTTACTTAGAGGAACCCAAAAGGCTGCTTGGTCTAGTGAACCTCCTGAACAATGAACAACGTATGATGGGATCCTGAAAATTGGACAGTGAGGAACAGAGGTGAGACGTGATCATTGATGAATATTAAAATGAATAAATGACAGATTTAGCAATATTTTCATAGACTATGTACTCACCACATCAATAAACAGCACAGCAACACATAATACTTCCTCAAACATGGCAACCTTTAAAAAGTGAAACCCACAATAAAAAATACAGCTAATTATTGTCCATAAGAGTTTGCTGTTACATGTCAGTAGAAAAACAATTGGATAAAAACACAACTTATCTAGAATAAAGAGGATATTTATGTATAAAAGACAAATACATTTAAGTAGTTACTTTCAACTCCAAGCCACTTTTATGTTAATGAGCAGCATCACATCTCCTGGCAAATCCTAATTTGATTCAATTTAAATTATATCTGCAAGTGTAGAGGGTTTATGATGAATACTAGCCTCATCATTTGGTTTTACATGAACATTTTTGCTCTGTTGAGCTTTAGCTGTTTTTGAGTTAAGAATTTCTGCATAGTGCACTTATATCAATTAATAGACATTGAAATATTTTACTACCTAACTAATAAAGACTATACTTAACTAACTAAATGAATAAAATAAAGTTACTGAAGCACGAAGATCACTATCACTAGTATAACATCATAGAAACAGCCCAGCAGTAGAGAAACCCCGTCATGCTGCTCAACAGCCAGATAACTTGTTAAATGGCCTACTCATAACTATGCTTTGTTAAGAGTTAGCAAGCACAACGAAAATAAACTATCAACCAAACTTGATTCATATCTGACCCAGGTAGACGCTTCTTAACTGAAGTTCAAATTCCCCTCCAGTCGCACCACCTGTGCCGTCGTCATATAATGCGGCGGCCGCGGGTCTCCTCCTCCTGCCTTCCCTTCGCCTCATCCACCTGCTGACGGCCACCTCCGCCATCATTACCTGCTGCGGCTGCTTTGGATGCCAGTGCGGGTGCGGTCACTGATGCTGCCGCTGAAGAAGCTCCGCCATAGCCAGCAAACATCTGTGTTATTTTAACACATTTGGCAGCATCTTTCTAAAGGGCTTGTCTCTTTTTCTCTCTTATTTTTTCCGCACCTCCTTTGAGTTTCTTCTCAATTTTGTCAATCTCCTCTCTCTGTATGATTGATTGATTAGCAGCCGAGGCACAAGTGGGAGGGGGCATCGGCCCTCGGCTGTAATTGGTCCAGCCCAGAATCAATCATGACTAATGGGCCGATCTACCAGTTTTGTGTACCAATAGGTATCATAACATGACTAAAAGTAAAAAAAAAAAAAAAAAAAAAAAAAATTACCATCGGGCAGTCCAGCCCTGCTTATCCTGCATTCCAGACAAAGGTTCGAGTCTCAGAAGGATATCTGAAAAATTCAGCCCTTGGGAACATAAACCCTTGTGTTATTTGTTCGAATGATTTGAGCTCTCCATTGTGAAGGAGGCGATGTAAGTTTGAGGACGTTTAAGGATTAATATGGTATAAAAAAAAGTGCTTGTCCTTTATCTTGAATCATAGTGGAAATACTCATGTTTTATTTAGGAAATGCAATATATGTATTCACTTAATTGGATCTAAGTGGGTTTGTGGGGAAAGTATACTGTAACCCACCAGGTGGTGCTGATAGACAGTGATGAATAAAAGGCTGCTGCAAGTTAAACTTCCAGAGGCTATTGCATAATGATTCAGGCAACAAATTGCTGTCTGATTAATCACAATATTTTAATTTGTAGCACTCATTTTGTCCTCTCTTTGTTGCACCTCATTTTTAGTAACATAGGCCTGTATATTATAGTTTCATTGCCAAGTCAAGTCAATTTCATTTATATTGCCCAATATTACAAATCACTAATTTGCCTCAAGGGGCTTTAAGCAACTTAATGAGGCAGTGCAACCAATATTGTTCAGGCAAAGGTAACATCCTGGCCTATATTCTTATGTTTCTTTTGCCAAATTAAAAACAATGTACATCTGAAATTCAAGAACAGGCTATATAGTGTAATTTTGACACAAGAAAAAAGGCTACATTGGTGTTATACATCTAGTTAAAAGCATATTATAAGTTATATGCCCATGTTTGCACTGTGTAAAAATGCTTAAGTGTGTGTGTGTTTGTGTGGTCACCATTTACAAAGAGCACTTGATCTTTTTCCTTTAGTGCAGCTAAAAAATACCAGCTCAGATAGTGCATGTGCAAGCCTCGCTGCTCACTTTGGACAACCACTACTAGCCTCGTTGTGGTCGTTTCCTCAAACGATTCCTGCCAAATGCCCCCCTTACATCACACTCTCCTCCTTCATGTGTGGAATGCTGTAAATGTGAGAGAGGGGTGGGGAGTTTCAATTTGCCTTCGAGACTGTTAATCAAGACCCTCTTTTCCATTTACAAAGTGGGATTGGCTGACGGATTTCCCCTTTTCTCCGTGCGATAGGCCCACAGAGATGGTCATAACGGAGGAGGGCAGGGCCGCCATCTCTCCACCCACATTATCACCATCTTTTATTTCTGCCCAAGAGACTCTGCTGTCAAGATAGTTCACGTCCTTGCGCTACCTCATCAACCATTGTATCATTTGCGGGTAGTGTGTGAGTATTTAAAAAAAACACATGAGTTGGATTTAAATAGGTTGGCCAACAGGAAGAAACGGTATGTGTATTAACTTAAAAACCGATGTAAATATTTATTTTTGATGCGACACAGCTTAGCACGCATACGCACAACAGGGATAACCGTTGAGTTCGCGAGACACCCCGAAAACGAGTATGTGGTATTTTATTGAAGTTTCTGTATTAAAATACGTTAAGTAACTCTTCGAAATTTATCTCTAACGCCAATTAAACGCAAACATACATGCTTTAGTTAAAGAAAATCACCAAATGTGAAGTATTCTCCCTGAATGCTAGCTAAAAACACGACGTCCCGTGTTCCTGTCTGACGTCACACGCAAGGGAAAGTGGTCAAGGAGGCAGTATCTTGCCTCGGCTTTGTAGTCTTTGTCGGATGTGTGCTGTGGATGACAACCGTCCAGCCCGTCGCAACAACAGCAGCAGCGGCGGCAGCAGTGTATTTATCATCGCAGCAGCAGCCGAGGAGGGAGTGAAGTGAACCGGAGGACGGAGAGAGAAAGGATTTTACGGACACCGACCCAAGCATGGCTACCCAAACGACAGCATCATGCACTGGATCCACTCTGTTGCAGCCAATCAGCGAAATTATCAATCTCCCTCTCGACCAGGTATGTGTTTTGGGTGTAGAAAATAGAAACACACGAACCAGTGATTGATTTTAAAGCAGCACATCCATCGTTGTTAGCTAGCATAACTGCATTTCACGGTAGCAGAGGCTGGTGATGCGCAGGTTAGCTTAGCCTTCATACATTGCGGATTTACTGGGTGCACTAAATCACTGTTGGTGTTTCCACTATCACCATCACAGCTAGCTCCCCTGTCAGGATACACCACTGCTAATTCCTTTTGTCTCGTCCCATCGATGCCCACAGCAAAATCCAGTGGCTCTCACACAGGGGTCCAAAGATCCTCGGAGAGCCTTTGATGTGCTTTGCATCGGATCACTACTATAATCTGGATTAAGTAGTCAAATTTCACCTCACATTCACTTCAAGTTAGCCCCAGAATAGTGTGTGTGTAGGCCGCAATGATCACTCTGCTGGATTGTAAGATATTTCTCATTGCCAAGAAGATCAAATGTTTTTTTAAAGATAGAAAGGAGCTGGCAACATGTAGTTGGTGATGAAATCAAATATTGGACTTGGCATGATACTGATATGGCTTTTCAGGGGTCATTCAGTTCACAGCCACCTGAAGCCTGCAGTTTATGTTATTATGGGGCTAAATCCATATTTCAGAAGTCCATAATTGCAGGAATTAAAGCTCATGTTGGTTTACATTTGCAAACCAGCTCAAATGAGAGCACAACATGTGGTTTATGTGAGAGAGTGCACCACACCTTCTCTGTCAATCTTGAAATGCACATCTGTAGGTGAGATTAACCTGGAATTAAGGGATTATCTGAAGTAGTGATAGCTTACTTTAAGTGTAAGTCATTGCAATGTGTGTGCCTGTATTTGCATTGCAAATGCATTTTACACTCACATTCCCAGGCACCACACCTACACCATCGCACATGCATGTATGCAAAGTGTATTTCCATAGCCATGATTTCAATGCTTACCAGAGCTTGTGGTGGCTCTGGTCATGTCAGCACAGATCATGGTTTGTTAGCAGGCTTCTGTGGAAAAAAGCCAATTTGAAGTGCCACTGTGGCTTGTCTGAGGAAAGTTAGAAATATCCTGTGTCAACTACTGTGGTTTCCTCCGGTTACACTGTGGTTTTCATTATTTTATTATGGTGAGGTCTTAAATTTCTGCCTTGATACCTATAATGTGTCAGCCCCTTAGTGACAAATATAGTTTATTGTTAGAACACCACTTGATGTTGTCTTGTACTGAAAGTACATTGTGATCTTGAATGAAACTTAATTTCTGTTTTCCAGTTGAGTGTGAACACCAGGGAATCCACTGTAATGATCAGTATGAGTAACCATCTCTTGCACAAAGTAGCAATAGACTCTTTTTTTCTTCTTACGTTGGCATCGTTTTGCTGTGCATCTTAGCCCCCTGTCATCAGCGGCAGAATCACTTGTTCTTATCTTTACTCTTTCCTTATCAGCATGAGGTCACGTACAGATGAGCCTATTTCCTTCTCCTGCCTCCTCATGACTCACTCTTCTCTTCCCACTCGACTTAAGAGTGCTCAGTGGGATGTTTTGAAGTCATAGCTGTGATAGTAAAAGTTTGCATGTTTGAAATCATATGGAAAGGTGTTGGTGGCTCACAAGTCTGAAATGTAATGTTCAAAATCATGATGTCACGTGTTCTTATGTGAACTTCTTTATCAGCCGACAATGCATGGCTACACAGTGACTAACATCTCCACTCGTCTTGTTGTGGATAAAAGGACAAACCTATCCGGTCATCTTTTGTCGTCCGTCCTACCTGCGTGTGCTGACGGGAATGTTTGATTATGTCCCTCCACCCAGAGGTGGTGAGGACTCACTATTTAATGTGATCTGCTACGTGTCACAAACACATTATCTGAACGTAGAAGGGAGTTCAGTTGCATTCATTACTGTGCCTTTAATAAGTGGAAGAGCGAGTATACATCAGTGGAACCCCGCTGTGTCCTCTGCTTTATAAATACTTAAAACAAATAATCATTATAATCATCATAATGACTATAATAATGTAGTATGTAATTGGTTGTAAGAGACCCTTATTAAAAGTGCTCTCAGAAAGGACATACAGTCAAACTTGTGCTTTATTTTTCTTGATCATGGAACTTCAATCATCAGCAATAGTTTTTACACTTTCTACAGCTTGTTTTATGTCTAGAGCAGTGTTTGATATCAACCATTTTTTAATATATGTAAATTATCAATGGTCCAATACAAATGAAACTCTTGGTAGGCTCCTAGGATAAATAATCAATTGATTTTTCAGTTCACTAGATGCATTTTGTTGCTGCAAAAAAATGGCTGAAGTGAGATAAACAGACTGAAAACTTTATCTCATCACATTAAAAATTGTTGATGCTGACAAAGTTTTCCTATGGGGACACAATTTACAGTTGAAAAAAAGATAATAAATGGCAATATATCACAAGAAATGTTATCGCAATACTCAACATATCGCAATATTGCAGTAATATTGTATCGTAACCTAAGTATATTATCTTGATAATATCGTATCGTGGGTCCTCTGGTGATTCCCACCCCTACCTGCTAGCCAGGGCTCTTAAATAATGGTGTCCCAGTGATAACTGATAATGTGTTTGGGGTGAACAGAGATCTTCTCAGGAAAACCTCAGGGACGAAATGGATTTTTACATGCATCACTTAGCAACCAACAAACTGAGTCAAACGACAACAACGGAGCACATCTTCTTGCTGTTATCACTTGGGGGAGAGCTAATTAGCTGTTAGCAGCCAGTGGGCAGCAGAGATCTGCGGTGGGTTTGGCTAATGGAGTTAACAGCTAATGGAGCTAAACACAGCAGGACTGAGTTTCTGTCCAAAGAAGCATGAAATGGCTAACAGCCTTTAATTGCCCTTTCTGTAAGCCATTTTTCTTGCATAAGTTTACATGTGGGCCATTACAAATGTACCTTGGCCACCAAATTACAGGTCCTTCAAGTGCTTAAAACTATTAGCATGTATCCCTGTAGAAACAGTTGTCCTGCCCTTTACCTTAGTGCGGTGACACTGTAGTCAGAGGAAGTCAAGTCATTGCCATGCAGGAAATGAGAGGTCATCCACTGTGTCATGGATTTATGTGGTGAAATATTGACTCTTGAGCTACTCCATTGGCTATGCTTAGTTGTTTGTCTGTATTTGACTAAATCCTGGCTGAGGATTGGGAATCCTGGGAATGGCATTGTACAAATGGGACATATAATCATGGGCCATGCTGCTTTGTTGGACAGGTGTCACCCTTGTGACCATGTGGTTTGTTAGCCTCCTGCCAACTGGGTGCCCTGTTGTGCCAGAGCCACTGTCAGATACCACAGAAATCAATACAGCCACTCAGATACGGTATGATCTGTGTGGCCCACAGACACTGACACTCATTTTCATGACGATGCTGCTATAGTGTGCCGCCTCACTGTATGTCGTTACGATTGTATGTATCCAATGGGAGAGACGGGCCTGTGCACTGGCCTGTGTCAGAGCTATAATGGGAGCTGTGAAATTTGAACTGACGCTCTGCTTCTTCTTCTTCTCTCCCTTTCTTTCTCTATCACACACAGCCTGTCCCCTCTCAGTAACATGCTGTAACTACTTTGACTAAGTCCTCCTGCATTTTTGTGCACCCACACAAACACTGTGTTCACCCACTCCGGTTCAGGGGTTCTGGTCTGAAAAATGGGATTTATGGGCTCGAATTACACATCCTGATCCCAAGCTGTGTCTGCCCCAGATTTGGTTGTATTGAGCTGTTTTTATTTGTTTGCCATAAACCTTGTGGAGTGAAGGCCATGTACAGTATGAAGTGCTGCTCTTGGTCTTGAAGTGTTCATCAAGAAATCCTTGACATTTTACTGTATCTCATCTGCCCTCCCCCCACTTAGCTTGAACATCCCCTTGCTCGGCTACTGCTGTAGACCTCTGTACACACTTGAGATCACCACACAGCTCACATAGACTTGCACTGATGTTTTTTAGCTACAGATGCTTGGTACTGATCGATCTCAGTCCCTGTAGGACCTAGCATAGCATTACAAAACATTCACACAAGTAAGCAGAGGTGCCTTGCAGGTTAGCTAGCATTTTCAGGGGTAGCTTGTGACTGAATCAGGTCCAATTTCTTAGGTGGAACATTTGCTGTCAGAGTCGATGATGCGTGTTAATATCACACTGGTATGCTTCTCATGCTGACATCATTAGCGGTGTGCCGCAAGGTCTGATTTCAGGTCCAGTTTTGTTTTCCCCCCAGTAATGCATCCAACAGACCATGGCATCATAATGCATGATATAAAGTTTCAGACTGAAGTTTGGAAAGTAGTTGACTCATACACCCTTATGCCTTGCAGTCATCAGTTATCAAGTGTTAGCCGCTTCTAAACATTGCGCTATATATGACAGAATATCAGTAATAGTCATATTACGTGACTCAAGCAATCCCTCTGAAATGTAAGACTCAGTGCCAGAAACCTGGGCACTTTATTTAATTATTCAAAACAACTCTTGAAAGGTTTATCTCCCCGAGAAGGGACTTTTGTAACTCATTAGGTTGTAGCATCAGCTGTGAAGTCCTGCCACAGCTGCAGCTGTTTCAATATATAGCAGCTGGGCTCGCGGTGAATCCCTCCACTGGCCTTTTCCACACGTATACAGTGAACTTTAGCAACTTGCTGTTTGTTTGTACAGCTCGTTGTTGTCTTCATTTATTGATGTGTGCCTTTCTAAACTGTCGGTTTAGATGCTCAAGGGCTTGGGGGGGGAGGGGGCACATATGTAACAGGGGTAAGAACATTTTGAACATCAAACACCTAGTTTCCTGCATTCTGACGAGTATTTTACTCACCAATTTGTGGCGTTTCTGCAACATTTTATGGTGTAAATGTCTTAAATTTAAAATCTAAATACCAAAGAAAACATGTCCCCTGCATCCTCTCCTGAAATCTACACCTATGGGTATACTCTATCTTTTGCTTGGTG